AAATCGAAGTGGCAAAGAGGACCAAGTCGAACAAGGCTTCGAACAAGAAGAACAATAAGAAACTTGCTGAGAAGTTGATTACAAAACAAAAGAGCAATGAGGAGACTGCTAATCTGGTGATCAACGATCCTAAAACCTGTAATCAAGCAATGAAGACCAAGGATAAAGACCTATGAAATGTTGTGATTAAGTCCGAACTTGACTCATTAGAGCAGAACGGCACGTGAAAACCAGTGATGAAGACAGACGACATGAAAATCCCAAATATCAATGGGTATTTAAGACCAAGACCATCGCACAAGGTGGAATAGAAAGACACAAAGCAAGAATAGTTACATGCGGAAATGAACAAGTCTTTGGTGAAGATTTCATGCTTACATATGCGCCTGTCATGGAAATGATCACTGCCAAAGTAATATTGGTAATGGCGCAATACTGGAAGGTACCAGCTAGACACGGAGATGTGCCTAATGCTTACGTTAAAGCATCCGCTGAAGAGTAATTCCCCTTTTATATTAAGATTTTACAAGGGATGGAGATACGGGATCAAGTACTGAAGGAGTTGGGTGTGAATTCTGCAAATGAAATCGTATAGTTACTACTTCGGAGCCTTTACGGCTTGAAACAAGCCGGTATATTACGGAATCGGTTACTTAGTACAAAATTGATCGATTTGGGATTGAAGCAATCGATTGCTGAACCATGTTTTTTCTATAAGAAGGATGATCGTGGAATATTATTCGTTGGAATATGCGTGGATAATTTATTGGTCACTGGGACCAATTACGACTTAAAGGACGAGCTTTTTTGATTCACTGAAAAGCTTACAAACCAAGGACTTGGGGGAAGTTAACAGGTTCTTGGGAATGAGAATCATCAAACACGAAGAAGATTATTTTATTGATCAAGAAAACCTTATTGATGACCTTTTAGACCAATATAGAATGAATGACGCAAAAATTACAAAAACTCCGATTTATTCTGGACATTTATATGCCGAATCAAGCTCTAAATTGCACGATCCAAAGAAATTCAGGTCACGAGCTGGGAGTTTGTTGTGGATTTCGCGTTGCACGCGTCCAGACTTGTCATTTGCCGTTCATAAGACGACGAGAAGAACCCATGATCCGAGGGAACAAGACTTACAACTTGATAAAAGAATTCTACGATATTTTAAAGGGAATAAATGGTTTGAAGTTGAAGACGAGAAATCAAGAACAAACTGAAGG